GAAATGTAGCTGGGTAATTATGTCATTGGCATCGGTGAGCCACTGTCAATATGTGACATATTGAAATCGCGTTTGAATTTGCGCTTGTTTTTTGCTTTCACTTTGCAATCGCGCAAACTGTGTATAGAGAGTGACAGCACTGATTGGTGAGTGATGATAATTTGCGCACCAATTTCTCTGACATCGTCTTATCAATCGTTAGCTTACTATGCAAACATGACAAGTGAAATCTGAGAGGTTGATCGCGCAGAGAATCGCTGAGCGTTATGTTAGTGCGTGTGTAAAAGGAGCAGGATATATATTGTAGCGGGTCAGGGCTGTTCGGGGTTCTGTTTGTACAGTTATGTTTTGTTTATGTTGCCATAGTGACGGGTGACGCCCTCTCGCTGCGACGGTGTGTCCTTCCGGGGTCAGAGGGCGCCCTGTGTGTTGTTGTTGTTGTTGTTGCTGCTGTGCTGTTGCCGCGCTGAGCAGTTAGCTAGCGGCAGTGTTCTTCTGCAGATGTCAATAAACGGCTGTGCTCCCTGGCTAGCTCACGGGAAGCAAGACCAAACGACACCTCCGTCTCCTCCTTGTCTGAGCTCGCCACAATATTTTAGTTCTGCTGAGCCAAATAAGACAGGTCAGGGTGAAGAAGTGACCACAAACCACAAAAGAAGCATGTATTCTTGGAAAAGTAGTTGCAGGAGGTGAGCTGGCTTCAAACAAATGATGAACGCACAGAGATGTGGTGCGGAATGTGCCGTGAAAATTTAATAAATGACAAATTAAAAAGGCATGAACATTTTCTTTGTATCGAACCGTGACACCAAAGTATCGAACCGAACCGTGAATTTTGTGTATGGTTGCACCCCTAATAAATATATATATATATATATTGTTTGAGGGCGCTTTTCAAAAACCCAAGGTCGCCTTACAAAAGAACAGAATTAATAAAAGAAGCAATAGTCGTAGAATACATACAAGAAGTTAAAATTGCAAAGCAGAACTTGAAAACAGATAAAATCAGCACTAAAGCGAATAAGCCAGTTTGAACAGATGTGTTTTGAGCTGTGACTTAAATGCGGGAAGAGAGTCTGTGTTTATTAGGCCACATTATATACACATTATAGTTATGTTACTGGGAAAACGTGAACAGAAGGGAACTTACGCGTAGGCCTCAAAGTCTCCATTGTTGATAGATTCAATTAACTGCTCAGTAACTTTGATGATTTCTTGTTTTCGAGCTAAAACACAAGATCACAGAAAATCATCAGCTAAACTGGCATAATAAATGTGTTGTTACTATATTTCAGGCAAATGTTCAGAGTGCAGCTACAAATCAGCTTCAGATGAGTTCTACTCTACGGATTTGCAGGATTTTAAGGTTATTAGAAATGGAAGGCGCTCAAGAAAGGATTTCACATTTTGATCATTCATGTCTGAGTCCAAAAAAAAAAAAGCTGGAAGAAAGCCTCCCATGACTAATAGTGATATCAGGCAGGAAAAATGCAGGATGACAATATATTTCACCCAACAAAGCTCAAATGAATCAAGACAAACCAATGTCAGATGCAAGTATTTGCTGTAAAAGCGATTTAAACTAAGTAATATTGACAGTTACCTTTATTGTTATTGGTGCAGGCTGGGGGATATTGAAAAAATTACTCAATTTGTGAAACAACAGACATGTTAAATAATATATTTTTTTAAAAACTGTAAGAAGTCCTTCACCTTCAGACGAAAGGAGCAAATAGGGTCATAAACAGAGGTTTCATTTTATTGAAGATGGGATAGTCACTGAGGAGTAACTTTCTTAAATCACAGACTACTGCAAACACCCAGTGGTCTAAGAAAAGGATATGATCTGAACATCATGAGCATGGCATTTGAGACACTTTACATATAAGGAACACTACCTCACAGGGATGACTGGGTAAGCAAAATAGGGCATCTTCCCCATTGTGGAGGACTTACTCTGAATTGAGGAGTTGGGAGTCTGTCTTGAGTCAGACATCTGTGAGGAACGGCTCTTAGAACTCAAGATACCACTCACTAAGCTGCCCAGACGAAGGGCTGAGATGGGATGATTGAATGATTGAATGATTGGGTGTCCAGTGTGTATAAAGGGTGGAAGACGTAACAAAGATAATCATGTATGGTGAGAGACATAGCGAAAAAAAGATTTTCTCAACAAAAACACATAAAAGGAGAGTAAAAAAAAAATGCTGAGTGGAAACATTTAATAATAAAAACATAAAATGGTGGGCACAAAAGCAGCATGTGTTCCCATTTTTGTATTAACCTAGGAGTACATGGATGCAGTTGGAGGAGAAGACAACGAAAGAACAGAACAATTTCCATTTTTCAAGAGTTAAAAGCTAAATGGGAGCAGGAGTAGTTAACCTGCTGTTAACTGCGTAACAAAGCAGGATGTAGAAAAACACAGATGGGAGTGACCAGTCTGACTGGAAATCATGAGGACTGACTAACATTACCAGTGTAGCAGAGATCTGCAAGTCTGTAAACCATACAGTTTTTACTACCTTTCACATCTTCATCTTCAATGGTGGTGTTGGCACTCTCAATTGACTCCTGACAAAAATGACAAAAAGATTATGGACACATAATACATGCTTCTTTAATGATATCGTGCAACATGCATTTGTAATACAATTAAGTCTTAAATGGAGAGTTTTAAAAGCTAAATGGTCTCATAAACTCTGATTTATGAGCAAATTTGCTTTATTCTTGTTGGTAAATTGGAAAACATTCCTGTTAGCTCTTACTAAGAAAGTCTATAGTACAGGAGCAAACAGACTTAATATTAAATGTAGCCATCAGTGAAAGTGAACTTTGTTTATGTTATACCTTGTTTCCATCCACAGGGTTGTGTATCACAGTTGTCTGTGGTTCCTAAGAAAAACATATAATAGGCACTTGTGGGAGCAAATACTTCAACAATGCAAGAAAAGTTATGATTGGGCAGATACCTCTGAAGAAAATGTATTTTGTGTATTTTCTAAAACTGACGGTCAAGAAGATGGCCGACCACTTACATCAATTACTCATTATAATCTTTAACTTTGTCTATCTGTAAATCTATTCATCACAATGTATCTGAGACCAAATTCAAATGTGTGCGTCAATTTCTTGTTTATTGTATTTCTCATTCTTTCCACTCTTTCTGTATTGTGTGGTCTTTTTTGCATCTGATTTTCTCTCAGCAGCCCTAGCCAGTGCCCTCACTTGGTAATCAGATGTCTGGGTTTTTGTAGAATTGATCCTGGTGACCAGCTCAGTCTTTCTAATCACTCACCCAGATTACATAAGATTATAACATCAGCGGCCTTGTGTGAGTGTGTATGTGTGTTTGTGTGTTGGGGGTGGGCGTGTGTGTGTGATGATGGAGTGAGAAAGAGAGGATAGACAGATGTCATGTGCACGTGTTCATGCGTAATCAACTTGACAGCAAATGGGAGGACAGAAAGTCTTTGACATCATGCATAGTGGCAGTCATGTGGCCTGACGTAGACAGCAGACACCATGCCCAAAGAACAACTATCCTCACAATCCTTACAGTCATGCACAGACCAACTATGCCAGTAACAAATCCTACAAAATGCACATGTGGATTACTGTCAGCAATTTTACTTTTAATTGCAAATCTAACAGATGTACAGTACAATGACATGAAAGGACTTCATGCATGGTACAAATGAAAAGAGCAAGAAAAGAGGAAGAGTTTCTTAAGAAATACAAGAACACAAGAAGTGGGGGGGTTGAGGTAGAGGTTACCCTAACCACAGAACTTCATGTTCATTAGAGCCTAATCCAAACGTGTGTGCGTGTGTATATAAAGACTTAACTTGCTTTAACCCAACATTAACGGTGCATAAATTCAGCAAATCCAAACTGGCCAAGCGGTATATATCCCATGCATGCACTGCTAATTCAGATGAATGAATTCATAAATACATCAATCTGAATTATAAATATCTTTCATAGATAGCTTGATGAAAAAATCTGGAGCTGGGACATGCTGCACAGTTACAAAGGTCTATATGCACTATTTCATTCAGGGATAGTCTATTATTGGTGCTAGACATGTATTTCACCCCACGTTACTACAATATCCTTACATGTCTTTTTTAAAAGTTGAAATCTTCTTATCAAAGGTTGAGATCAAAAAGAATGTGATCTTACAATGTGGAAAGGGTGAACCTGAACCTCCTCCACAGTGGGATGTGAGGCAGGTACATATAGAAGTTTTGTGAAAGAAGCTGTGAGTGTAGATGAGAATGTGTGTGTATACCAGTGCAGGGGCAGGGCCAGTGTCTTTAGGACTGGTCACTGTGTTGGCTTTGTTGTTGACCTGCAGGGGGGCAGTGTAGAGGGGAGGGACATGACACATACACACTTCTCAGACACACACACTCTCTCACATCGGCTACAGACCAAAGTGATCATCCCAACTCTTCTGTTTGAAAACTCTAATTTCAGTTCCTATTATATGTTACCATGCAAAACTAAATTATGGAGATGATAAAAAAAAAAGGATTTAACATAATGACATGTGAGACATCAGAGGCAGCTGGAAAAAAACCCCAACAAACTCTAATGTGTCCTAAAGGTCACACTCTGATGAAGCCAACAGAGCAAACAGATTTAGAGATTCCCAGAGCAAATGCTTGTGATTGTGTGCCTTGAAATCCTATTCGTGAAAATCAAAAACAGAACTGGAGCCAGGGGGCAACCCTAGAGCCCAACAAAAGCTGAGAACATTCTTGACTTTATGTGAAGAATGCGGGGACAGCGCATCCTTTGTTCATACATATACCAGATGGCCTGGTTGTAAACCTTTTCAAAGTTTCCAAAATGTACATATACATTCCAAAATATCCCATGTACGCAAGATGGTCAAACTCCCATGATCCTTCTTGAAAGTTTTGCAAAGGTGAAGAATGGAATCAGCAATCAGCCGGAGCCTCCTGTTCAGCACCCTGTTATAGACTTTCTCCAGGAGACTGGGCAGTGTGATACCCCAATAACTGGAGAACAATTTCCGGTCCCTCATTTTGAAAATGGAAACCACCCCGCTGTCTTACACTCCGCCTCCAATCTTTAACAAGGCTCATTCGGACTCTGTGTCTCCAGACTCTCTGGGAAGCAAGAGGAATCCTTCCAGATTTAAACGCACTACACACAGGGGCTTTCAACCAGATGTTCCCAGTTCACCCACACTAGTCGTTTGGGTTTTCCAGGTCTGTCTGAGAACCTTCCTCACCATCTGATCTGGCTCACTCCTAGGTGGTGATCAGTTGACAGCTGTGCTCCTTTTTGTGCTTTTTGTGTCCAAGACATATGGCCTTAGATCACATGATACAACAAGGGAGACTGTTATTGACCTTTGACCTAATGTGCTCTGATACCAAGCACACTGATAAATCGCGTATGCTAGAGCAACATGTTACTCTAAAGAAACACTATAAATGACTATGGAAAACATGAGTTTAGGTAAATTCAATAAATGCAAAAACTAAAAAGATCAATAATTTAAAAAGAGGATGATGAGACCAGAAACATAAGCTACGAACAAGCTAAGAAAACTAGGAAAGCTAAGAAAATAATACCCATTTCCCACATCTTTGAGTGACTGTCCCTGAATGATAATGTTGTTAAGTGCAAAATGCATAATAACAGTAGTAATAATAATCAATATGCCTTCTCAGACACTAAACATTCCAACAAAAATAATGCAAGAAACAAAGCATTTTCTTCATTGCGCAAAGCAGCTCACCTTAACGCCATCTGGCTTCTTGTTGAGCAAAGTCTTAGCTGCTGTAGAAGGAAAGACAGAGACAACATTTCAGTATGAGGTTCAAGAGAGTCCTGTGCCAGAGGCTACACAAACATGCAGCAAGCATATCAATTTGTGCTTATCTCCAAACTCCAGGTGCAAGATCCAACTGCAAGATCCATAATGCAATCCAACTGAAGCTCCAAATAACATAACTTCTGCAAGGCTGTTATCCTACTACATACTTACTCACATGTCAGGGCTGAAGGGTGGGTGGTTAATTGGGTGTATATATAGCAGGTGATGAAAAGGTTAATCTAACCAACTATCTCCAACAGGCTCACACACAACATTCCTAAGTCGACATTTGCCCACATACCCATGCACTTGTATATTTGCACCTACACATATGCTCCCACCACTATTCCTTAACTTTATTTTCCGATGTTACATAGAAACTTAACACTAAACTGCATTACAACAATCCATGCTGCATCTTTCTCTAAATTTCTCTGAGATTGTAAATTAGCACTTATGCAAGGATGAGATTCTGTAGTACACTTTAAAATGCCAAATGTCATACTTTCATGCATGTGCGATTGGCTATTCCACACTATTTCCAAAAATGTAGGGGCACAGTATAAACAGAAAATACAACCAGAATTAAATTATCAGCAAATCATTTAGACTATACATGTAACTGAAAATAGTACCAAGGCAATTTGACAATTTTTTTTAAATTGCTTTTCATTTATTACAAGCATATGCTTATTTGGAATTTGATGTCAGTTGGGAACTGAGGAGGAGTGAGACGTTATGTAGCTTTGAAGGTGACATGTTTTCCTATTTGTTGCTTAATGTATGAGTTCAGCTTCTCATCAGTTTCTGGCTTCTTGTGTTGAATTCTTATGTGATTATATGCCAGAGGTTTTCAGTGGATAACATGTCAGGAGTGCAGGCAGCTCAGCTAAGCAAGTGGAATGTGTTGTAATAGATGCTGTCTTTCTGAAATAAGCAAGAACTTTCCTGAAAACAATGTGATCTGGATGCGTTTCTCTAAAACACAACATTTTTCACCTTTAACATTTTATACATCTTTACACTACTGTCAGTTATATATATAAAAAAAAATGTTATTTGCATTTTACACAGTGTCCCAACATTTTTGGAAACATGACTCTAAATGAAAAATAAGACCTAAATGCCAATGCTTATTGGTTGGGCTCAACCTCATACATTTCACTGTCATTCCAAAAATCCTTACCTCAAATGGTTACCACAATTCAAACAAAAAAGGAAAGAAAATTGAAAAAGGAAGAAACTGATAAATAAAAAGAGACACAAATGAACAAATGCATTTCACTGTAGAATGAAAAGCAAAAGTAGTCTAATAAGAGCATGAAGAATATGAGATAGGTCAAAAGAAATGTATATTTAAAAAAAAGTTTGGCGTCAAAATAGAGAGAGAATGGTAGAAAAACAGCTTGAAAAATCTAAATGACTCGTGTTTAGCAATGGCATTCTTATGCCTAGTTTCTTTTTTTAAAGTCTTCTAAAATTCAATTTTATTTCATTTTAAAACTTAGAGTTTCTCCATATTTTACCTTTTTATGGTGTAAGCAGCAGAAGATTCACTTTTCAGAGAGTACTTAACCAAATTATTATCAGTTATTAAGGTTTAATAGTTCAGGTTAGTTTAAGTGGGCTTGAAATAGTTATCCATAGTCAGTGTACTACCTACAACATTCATAGTTTATTCCCCTAGTACTTCCGATACCATCACCAATATCCTGCTGTAGACAAGGCTGGTTACAACCATTTATACTCTATGTATCTACCTCTTGATTCGTTGGTCTACCACTGTCTTCACTGGTTAATATATACTAATGTGTGAATTTGGTGTTTTAATGCCTTAGATTCAATCAATCAATCAATCAATCTTTATTTATAAAGCACTTTTCATACAAAGAAAATGTAGCACAAAGTGCTTTACATATTTAAAAGCAGCCCACCCCACCCTCCAACTCACTCCCCACACTCTCAATACACATATATCCCCCCACCCACACACACATACACACACACGCACACTTAAAGAGTAAAAAGAGTAAAAATTGGGCTGGACTCGCATGAGCCAAGTGAGGAAACACTATAACAGGGAGCCGTCTGCACCGGGAGCCGGTCACAGACCGCAGCCTCCAGGCTGGGCACACAGCAGGAGGGAGGCAAAGGAGCCCCCCAGCCAGGCTGAGAGGACCCCAGAGACCCAGCAGCCACGGTCAATCACAGCCCCGGTGCAGAGAGCGCCCTCCGAGGAAATTGAATCTAACCCTTTAAACCCTTAAAGTTTTAAAGTTGAGGCAGGTTCTGCTCATTACTGTTTTTAATCAAACTTTACTAGCTTATTAAAAAAAGCAGTATAATAGCTTTATATCACCTCAGTGATTTGTTAATCTCATCCATAATAGTTTTAATTTGCCAGTACTCATGTCCGCATCCTCTACTGCAGGTATTACACTGATGGATAAGTTCATAAATTCCCACTTTTTTAAAGATCTCTTTAACAGCTGTAACACCTTTTTAGCTTCCAGTTTTGTTTTTTCATTCTTCTTTTTTTTGTTTTTTAGGACAAATGCTTGTAATTTTTAACATAATATGTTTGGGAAAACCAGGTTTTTGGACACCATGCTGAGAAAGACATACCTGAGAAGTTTCTTGTGACTAGCAAAGTGGTCAATATTGCTCCCTGCATTGACAGAAAAGAAGGAAAGAAGAAGGAAATGATGATGGGCGAAAGGAAGGAAGAGAAAGAAAGAAAGATTGATTAAAAGGTTGTAGCAAGAAAGAGCAGCATAGCAAAAGGACAACTCGAAGGCTTTACAGAACAAGCAATCATTTTAAGTTATAGTGAGAAGTCTTGAGCAAGGAAAACAGAAAAGGAGAGGAAAAAAATGGCTGGATGGATTGTTCTATATAAACAGAAGCATGAAGGACTGCCAGAAGTCTCACCTTGAGTTTCCTCCTGGCATTGAATTTCTTCAGGCATTCCACAGTCTCCTGCCTGTGCATCATGGAAGCGACAGTGGACCGTTGCTGCAGGGAGAAGATGAGAGGATTTGAAGGAATGGAAACAATGGGTGAGAAGAATGTATGGCTGCGATTTTGTGGGCAGTGCAACTGTCACCTTTTGTGTGTGTTCGTGCTTTTTTTTTTTAATTTCTGTGTGCATCTGTGTGTGTGTGTGTGTGTTTGTGCAAATATTCCAACATCTGGGAGTGTGTTTGCCACATACGCAGATCCAGGGGTGTTTTAGGGCCTCTGCAGCAGTGATGCGTTTACTGGGGTTGATGGTTAGCATCTTGTTAATTAGATCTTTGGCCTCAGGAGTTACAGTGTCCCACTCCGGTGATGGGAACTATAAAAAAAAAAAAAAAAAAAAAGTGTGTCATATATACAGCAAATATACAAATACAAAACTACAGAGCTCTGAGGATTCTGTATTTGTAGCAAGCCAGGAAGAGAGGAGATAACATCAGAATTATTATCCAATTTTCAATTTCAGGTTTCAGATGTTATATTAGCGGAGAGAAAAATCTTTTAAGGCCTATTGCCAATTCAAAAATCACAGTGGCTGTGTCCTGAGCTCCCAATGATGCTACAGGAAAACTGAGCAGATGGCCAGATGATGAAATGATCCTATGTGCAAATTAACTAAAATAAAATGTCACTTTTTGTTTTGTCTGACTTTATTTACCATTTAGTTTTTTCAGTTTTGGATGATGTATATATGCTTACATCATAGGCCCCAGCCTTGATTTGTTGATAGAGGCGATGTTGATCCTCATCCCAGAAGGGAGGGTAGCCAACCAGCAGGATGTACAAAATAACACCTAGAACAAAGTGACATGCACACAAACCCATGCATTTTAGATCTTTATACTCGGATACTATTTGTTTATTTAAAAAAACAACATGAGGTTTCTTTATTTAGCACTCCACAAAACACTCAGAACAACTTAAAGTTTCAGTCCTTGTAAAAAAAAAAAAAACAGATGTCTTTGGACCCAGTATTAGATCCAAGCAGCTACAGTGAGACAATTTAAATGTTATTTACCACAGGCCCACATGTCCACTGGTTTCCCATATGGATCTTTCCTCAGAACTTCTGGAGATAAGTAGCCTGGGGTGCCTGCAAAACCTGGAGGAGTAATATGAAAGGAGGATATTTGGAAAGGCAGGTTTGTGCAGGCCGTAAAATGACTGTGAGACAATGAGTGTTGTCTTATGCTGATTTTTGAAATTTCACTTTTTCTTATTTTGAATAAGAGACTCTGCTAAGAGACATCTGTTGTAACATTTTTATTCACAAGGAGCCAAGGCTTTGGCTGCCATGTACCCTCTGTGGATTTAGGGTGGTTCGTGTGAAAACTCTTTATTACTGCCAAATATTTTGTTGACTGTTCTTTGGAAAACTGAATAACTCCAATATGTCACATGAAATCTATTATCACGTTGTGCTTTGGCCAGGATGCTGTTCAGTTCATGAACAAAAAGAAGCCTATGAAAGGTTTCTAGGTGACATTTAAACCGATTGGTGTATGTGCCTCTACTTGTCGAGATTAAAGAGATTCTCAACAGATTAACACTAAATCCCCCTTTATTAGTATTGCCCCAAAACTTCCCTAACATTGTCAAACATCTATATGACTGACTTAATATTATTTATCATTACTGATTGCTTGCTTGACCAATCAGCTATTTCAAGTTGGAAAATGGATGGATGAATACTCACCAAACCATGCCTGCTGGTCCCCCTGTACCTCGATAGCCAGCCCAAAGTCAGCCAACTTGACCGCCGCCCCCTTCAGCTTACTGGCCAATAGAAGGTTCTCAGGCTGGGGGGGGCGGAGTCAAACAGGTTAGAGGTGAGAGGTCACACGCTCTGGGAACAAGCTGCCCACAGACACAGATCTAAGATCAGATTAGCCATAGCAATCCCAATCAAAGCCATTAGAGGTCAGTGGCACTAAGCTGCTCTTAAATCAGTGTCTGAGGCAACTCCCTTTCTGCCACATCAATGACAGAGAACAAAAATGTGCACGGGACCAGATCTCTACGTGACCACGGACATGTTTCACACTGGAGCTGTGGACTTGCTCCCCCAGCCTCATGGATTCAAAGGGAGTAGAGGTGATGTGTAAATTAAAAAAACACTCTACTATTAGAATCCATGAGCAGGAACAAAGTGCACACTGCAGGGAGAAGGATACAGGGGGTAGCTGTGGTGGAACAGGAGACGTGGGTGTAAAAACAAGTGACTCTCAGCCACATATGTATAATGACACACACTGCACACTAAGACAATTTAGCACCATCATAAATTTATGAAAGCCAACAGCATGCACATATATGCACACACATTTAAACACATACGCACTAACAAAGGCGCAGGTGCAGAAAGGTCTTTGCTAACCTAAGGCCAGTTAGACAGTGTGCTCTAATGAATAATGCATTTCCTAACATTTAGAGACTCAAAACACAGGCAGCCTGTGAGCAGTCACTTTATGGCAGACGTATGACTCAACAGGACATAGACAGTAACTGACAACTAGACACAGCTACATAACGATTAACATAACGATGAATAAATCATCCTAATTTTGAAGCATGTAAAAACCTGAAATTGCTTCAGCAAAGGAAATCCTAGTCACAGAATGGAAATCTCAAACTTGGTTATTCTTTCTGGGGTGTTTTTGCAGTCACAAGCTCACAATCCATTTAGTCACATTGAAAACAGCTTTTTTTTAGCATTCTCCTGCCTCTTTGCTTAACATCAAAATGCTAATGGCAAGTTGTGAGAATACGGGCTACCACTAGAATAGTCATGACCTTAAAAATTTTTTTCACATCTCAACATAATTTTTTACATAACTATGCAAATGGGGATCATTTCTGAGTGTCTGTCTTGTGATTGCCTCTATTTTTAACCAGCACTGCATTACATTACACAGTCATACATCTCACAAAATTACTGCCATGATAACGTCAACATACTTTCAATCTGTCTTCAACATATTAGAGGTATTAGAAGAGGTTCCTCATTCTCTACACGAGCAGGCAGGGGGGTACTAGCCACGCATACTAACTTAACATAGAAGAAGACAAGCAGGCAAGAAGAAGTGTCGGAATCTGGTAAGCTCGAATCAAATATTTGCAATATATTGCCTTTTATTACTTTTATTGCCTTCAAAAGAAAGAATGAACAATGTAATAATTAAGAAGGTTGATAATGGAGAATTTAATGAAAATTCCCTATTTATTTTATAAAACAAAACATAAAAGAAGCAAAACAAAAATATGTAAAGGACAAAATGGAATTTTCTCTCTGTTGCTACCAAGTCAGGACTTTTTTTGTCTGTCTGTTTGGTCAACAAGGTTGCAGCAATGTCTGTGGTCATACAAACCTTCAGGTCCCTGTGAACGATTCCATTAACGTGGCAGTGATGGACACTCTCCAGGATCTGCTGTATGCAGTGGCTGAGGGTGGGAAAGTGGAGGAATGAGATGGATCAAATTAAAAGGAGAGAGAGGGGGGAAAAATCAAGAAAAAATATATTTTAAAAGAGGATACTAGGGAAAATAACCGAGAAGAGAAGAATAACCTAATTCATAACACTGTTCTCGTCATCAAACTTTTTATGTGAGATTTATGTGATATTAAGCCTCATGATGGGAACTTATTTCTGCAAAAAGTTAACGTTAAAGACATGCATAACATAAAGACATAGATATACACACACACCCCTTTCTTTCTCCCTCGAGATGCAGCTTTTCAGCATAAAGCTGGCAGTGTTAGGTAGGTTGTGTATGATTAATATTGCAGGCTTTATGTCATTAATCATCTTTATAAATAACTCCGAGATCCCTGAGACAAGGTAACTATATCACACCTCTGAGACAACCATATGTGAGACACACAAACACACATATAGGCACACACAGTTGTTCTCTCGGGTAACAGACAGAGATGCATAATGGCTGCTTTGCTCAGCAGCGTGTGTGTGTGTGTGTATGTGTTACCTGGCATCAGCCTCACTGTAGTACTCCCGGGCTACTATATCTTCAAACAACTCTCCTCCTGTCACCCTGGGAAGAGAGAATGAGATCATTATTTAGTGTATTCATGATTCTGGCTGTCATGAAAACTGAAACAGACTTGTCATTTTTTCTATGGACTCAATTACAAAAATCACTGGCAACTTCAACTATTACACCTCGGTAGTATCGACTCTGTACCCCTTTTTGCCATCAGTGCTGCCTTAATTCTGTCAGCTGTACAATCATCATGTGAATATTCCATTCCACCAAATACCAGTGGTGTTTTACTGGACCTGGTGACAGTGAACGCCCTTCAATTGTCAAGTTCAAGAAACGAGTTTGAGATTATATTACATTTTTTAACAGGGTGTGTTATCCTGTTGGAAGCAACCATCAGAGGATGGACACATTGTGGTCATAAATGGATGAATTGTTTAGCAAAGATACTTAGCTGGGTTTCGCATTTATATCAGTTGATACTCGGGGGGCCTTGCTGATGCTGCTCAAGGGATAGCTTCTCTTTTTCGGACCATTCTCTGTAAACCCAATAGATGGTTTTGTGGCAAGATCTCAGCAGTTTCTGAAATTCTAAGATCAATAACTGTGCCATGTTGAAAGCCACTTGAATCATCTTTCAGACCTTTGCATTAACAAGCAGCTGAACAATCCGAGAAGCTTCTTCAGTTCTGAAGAAGCTTCAGTTCTGAAGAAGCTTCTCAGATGAGAGGTGAAACGTCTTCAAGCAACTTAAAGAAGTCCAGACGCTTTTCTTTGAAAGCTCCTTTGACTACGATGACCTGGATGACTGAGAACCTTCACAGACAGCTGAACAATGCTATACTGGAATGTGGAACGTTCCAAACGAAAATAAGAAAAAAAATGTTTGCAAGTAACTCACCAAATTACAGTAACTGGCTATTAGCATTCTAACAAAAGGGTGCCATAATAATTGCCATAATAATTCTTTAACATAGTGGACTCTAATATAATTGGGTATTTACAGATATCTTGTTTGAATGTGTTTAACCCTGAATTTTTTTCCCCTCCAGTGGTCATGGCTTTCAGAGTAAAAACTGAGCTTCTTCTATACAGGGTGTTAACATTAATAAGAGATAGTATATAAAAATTGGTATGGTGAAGAGAATTGACAAAATGTGTGAATGAGTGTTACTCACAGATCAAACACCAGATAGTGGAAACCCTCTTCTGATATGCTGTCATGGAGTCTTACTGTGGAGGAGCGCAAATAAAAAAAAAAAGGAGAGAAAAGTGTGACAGAGAAAAGAAAAATCAGCCAACAGAAACAGACCAGCAGTGTGCAGCGGTGTCAACAAAGTTACAATATAACACTTAAAACGTCTCAGAACATGTTACTAATAATAGATGACTTCTAAGTTTTCATAGTAAAGCTGTCAATAGTGATGGCTGTCGTTTGATGAAATCTCGCTTTCCCATAATAAAACCTAAATTATTTTGGAAGTAGCTATATGTCTATGAAAATCTTTACAATACTAAAAATAAATTCAGTAAAATTATAATTCACATCACGGCAATTATGACACCCAGTTACGTCAATTGAAGGTTACTAGAACTAATATTGAATCATGTGCAACTTTGCCAAAACAATGTCAGACTCTGTAGTTGGGACCACATGTTCTCCTTAAATTGCTGGCAGGAAACCTGTTCTTGGTAGGAGAGACGGCATCCATCCCACTTTGGATGGAGCAGCTCTCATTTCTAGAAATCTGGCCAAATTTATTAAACCCCCTAAGTCGTGACTATCCAGAATTGGGACCAGGAAGCAGAGTTGCACTGTTACATGCCTCTCTGCAGCTTCTCTCCTCCCATTCCCCCCCGAAAATACCATCTCCTTAGAGAGTGTGTCAACTCCCAAACAGGAAAAAACAAACTAAAAACAAACAAAAAATGACTTAAACACAAAAGAATGACAAAGAAAGAACAATACAGTATCCACATTTGCACCAAAGAGTTAAACAGTGAAATGTGGATTAATAAATATTAGGTCTCTCCCTTCCAAGTCTCTGTTGATCATTTATTAACTCAAGTTAACAATTGATTAACAAATTTATTTATTCTGCCTTACAAATCCTGGCTACAGCAGAATGTTTATCTTAGCCTAAATCAATCAACACCCCGAGTCAAACTAACTATCAGAATCCTTGAAGCACAGACCGAGGAGGTGGTGTGGCAGCAATTTTTCACACCAGCCTATTAATCAACCAAAGACCAAGACAGACTCATCTCTGTGCTTGTCCTGCTAGACCTCAGTGCTGCGTTCCATACTGTTGACCATAATATTCTATTAGATCGATTAGAGCATGCTGTAAATACTACAGGTACTGCGCTGCAGTGGTTTGTATCATATCTATCTAACAGACTCCAATTTGTTCATGTAAATGGAGAGTCCTCTTCACACACTGAGGTTAATTATGGAGTTCCACAGGGTTCGGTACTAGGACCAATTCTGTTTACATTATGCATGCTTCTCTTAGGCAGTATCATCAGAAGCCATAGTATACATTTTCACTGCTATGCAGATGACACACAACTTTATCTATCAATGAAGTCAGATAACACACACCAATTATTTTAAACTGCAGGAATGTCTTAAAGACATACATATCTGGATGTCCTCAATTTTTTGCTTTTAAATTCAGATAAAACTGAGGTTATTTTACTCGGCCCTGAAAATCTTAGGAATATGGTATGTAACCAGATACTTACTCTGGATGGCATTACCTTGGCCTCCAGTAACACTGTGAGGAACTCTGGAGTCATTTTTGACCAGGACATGTCCTTCAATGCACATATTAAACAAATATGTAAGACTGCTTTCTTCCATTTGCGCAATATCTCTAAAATTAGAAATATCCTGTCTCAGAGCGACCCTGAAAAACTAGTTCATACATTTATTACCTCTAGGCTGGACTACTGTAATTCATTATTATCAGGATGTCCTAAAAACTTCCTGAAAAGCCTTCAGTTAATCCAAAATGCTGCAGCAAGAGTGCTGACAGGGACTAGAAAGAGAGAGCATATTTCTCCTATATTGGCTTCCCTTCATTGGCTCCCTGTTAAATCCAGAATTGAATTCACAATCCTGCTCCTCACATACAAGGTCTTAAATAGTCAGTCCCCATCCATCCATCATCCATCTTCATCCGCTTTATCCGAGGCCGGGTCGCGGGGGCAGCAGCCTAAGCAGAGAGGCCCAGACCTCCCTTTCCCCAGCCACCTCCTCCAGCTTATCCGGGGGAACACCAAGGCGTTCCCAGGCCAGCCGAGAGATATAATCTCTCCAGCGTGTCGTGGGTCTGCCCCGGGGCCTCCTCCCGGTGGGACATGCCAGCTCACCCAGGAGGCATCCTTGTCAGATGCCCGAACCACCTCAGCTGGCTCCTTTCGATGTGGAGGAGCAGCAGCTCTGCTCTGAGCCCCTCCTGGATGGCCAAATTTCTCACCCTATCTCTAACGGAGAGGCCAGCCACCCTTCGGAGGAAGCTCATTTCTGCCGCTTGTATCCGCGATCTCGTTCTTTTGGTCACTACCCACAGCTCGTGGCCATAGGTGAGGGTAGGGACGTAGATCGACCGGTAAATTGAGAGCTTCGCTTTTACACTCAGCTCCCTCTTCACCACGACGGACCGGTGCAGCGTCCGCATCACTGCAGCCGCAGTCAGTCCCCATCTTATCTTAATGACCTTGTAGTACCATATCACCCCATTAGAGCAGCTCATTCTCGCACTGCAGGTTTACTTGTTGTTCCTAGAGTATTTAAAAGTAGAATGGGAGGGAGAGCCTTCAGTTTTCAAGCCCCTCTTCTATGGAACCAGCTTCCAGTTTGGATTCGAGAGATAGACACTATCTCTACTTTTAAGATTAGGCTTAAAACTTTCCTTTTTGCTAAAGCATATAGTTAGGGCTGGACCAGGTGACCCTGAATACTCCCTTGGTTATGCTGCAATAGGCGTAGGCTGCTGGTGGTTTCCTATGATGCACTGAGTATTTCTTCTTCAGTCACCTTTCTCACTCACTATGGCCTCAGTAGACCTCTCTGCATAGAATCATACTTTTATCCTGTCTTCCTTCACTCTTCTCAACCAGTCACGGCAGACGACCACCCCTTCTCTGAGCCTGGTTTTGCCGGAGGTAAACTGTTACTGTTAGAAAGTAAAGCATTACTACACTGCATTTCAATATTAGGAAATTAGAAGAGTTTGACTTATATTATATATTATTGTCTTGATTTCAAAGCCACAGGATCAAAAACCTAACGCCATTGTTGCTCTCAAAATTTCAAATAGCAAATACATCTCAGAAAACTACAAAGAAATTATTAGAGAAATATGAAACAACAGCAGTGAAGGGAAGAAAGAGCATGTGTCTATAAATGTGAAAACAAAGGAGGAGAGACCACTTCTTTCAGAGGTTTAATGAGAGGGGTGTAAAGGTTTAGAGAGCAGGTGTACGGCTAGTGTATCTTTTTGATGACTCAGCTGCAAGAGCACACAGGTGCAGCATAATCATTACATACCGTACTAGAACACATACACACACACACACACACACACACACGGTTTCGTGGTCTCTCCTCCTTTCTCTCTCGTAACTGTGTCTAGAACATGAATATCCCTAGCAGAAATCAGTAGAGACCTGAAAAGACCTGTTTTAATTTGCACAAGTGTGTGTGTGTGTGTGTGTGTGTGTGTGTGTGTGTATTCAACGAGTGCACGTGTTCATGTGTGTGTTTCACTTCATTCTGAATCTGTGTGTTCCTCGCCTCTCTCTCCAGCTTTTGATGATCTAAAAGAAAAATAGAGGAGACACAAACACAGAGATGGGTTATTTTAATGCTACTCATGATTCCCTCCTGTGATTGGCTTTATAAATAATAGAACGTGAAGTTGGATGCAACTTAGTTTTGACTCAGTGGAGGACACATTGCAGTATTTGGTTGTAGTGTGTGTGTGTGTCTGTGTGTGTGTGTCTGTGTCTGTGTGTGTGTGTGTGTGTGTGTGTGTGTGTGTGTGTGTGTGTGTGTGTGTGTGTGCGCGCGCGCGCTGGCGTGGTGTCAGCCGGCTCTTTTCCTTATCAGAACTGAAATGCTTGACAAAAATAATGTGACCTGATATGTGCTCGGTAATATGCCACAAACAGGCAGGCGGCAGTGAACAACAAACACAGTGAACGGCCACAGAGGATTCATATTGACCTCTCGCGTCGGGCTCAGCATAAGCTCCTGCAATGTACTTTTAGGTCCTCTTTGGTGCCCTGAGGGAAATCTCAAATCTGTATTCCCAAAATATACACTGTGCTGCAGTTTTGCAGATGTATCATACAATAGATTTATACAGTAATCCTTTTGAATGTTTAAAAGAAAATCTCATACCGTTTTTTTCTTCATGTTTTTAATTAAAATTTGTGTTAAACAATTAATCTGGATAGAATATGTTAAAATTATTTATTTTCTACCCCCTTTTTTCAGACAAAGGGTATTTTGAAATAATATATAATCGGTAATACAAAAACAGCTATGTAATTCTGTATTACACCAATGGTGAGATTTAATCAGAAACTTTATGATATTTGTAGATTTCTACATCACTGTAATGAAGTGCTTTAGGTTACAATAAACTGTGACTTTTTTTTCCACACACACAGTAATATTATGCATACCATAAAACGATTTCACTCATATTCCGAAACCTTAAAGAAGTATATGCTCTACGGCAGTGACTATAATGTTCCACCTAAATACAACATCAGCTTTTGGTGAGCTTGTTTTAATAGTGGACCCTTAACTGATGCTGGGAGAACATGTACATGCTTCTTTACATGAAATCCACCAAATTGTATGCGGGGGAAAAAGACGGTTTTTGGGAAGCAAAGAATAGAACAGCAGCAGGTATTAGATACTGCAATCTAACTGTACTGCAACAAAAATCCCAGACAGGAAATATGGCAACCCAGACAGCATAACATATCTCTCCTCGTTGAGGCTCAGACTGATTTTATCTGACTTAGCAAACATGAAGTGACACTCAAATCTCTCTGTCAGAAGAAACCCAATGTCCAGTGACTCTGATTCAGAATAAGTGAGTCATTGCAATGAGTAAGACAATCCGGTGCTGAGGCGACCCATTTCAGCTTTGCCTCAGGACAGGAGGGAGAGAGAGAGAGAACAGGAGGTTCTACATTTTTCCAAAATAAAATAGGACGCCTATTTTTCACTCTCATCTGCCTCCTTCTTCTTCTCTTCTTGGTGCTATGGAAACTGTGGGCTCAGTGCAGCACAGAAGCAAGACCAGCAAAGAACACTAGGCTGCTTGTTCTCATTATAGGTCCAGGTATCTGTTTGTTTCGTGTCAGTGTAACGCACCTATAGGAAAACAATAGGCAAGCACAACAACAAAGCTAGTGATCTTTAAATGAAACTGACCTTGGCGTGCACTCAAATATGCAGCAAAATGCCAGTATAAAACATATTATGACAGAAAAGTACTTATCTCCAAAGAAAGGTGACAAAGATGTTTGTCAGCCCTAGTGACAAAGTTTAATCCAGAATAAAATATATAGCATGAGCAGGCAAAACTACAAAAAAAAGAATATTTAAAGGCAAAAGAAGAAGAGATAAAATGATGAAACTACAAAAAGGTCTACAATGAATTGATCTGATTACTGTTGCAAAAAAGCTTTCTCATCCATCAGCCCAAGCATTAACTACCAAGAACAGCCACAATTAACTTCATTAACTTAAAAATTGCTGTTTCTTTTCTTTCAACAGTCATATTGGCTCCAGAGGCGGTGATGAAACTGTGTAAAAACTTCCGAAAGGACTTGCATGCCTTCCTGCATGCAGAATTTCTTGCAGCTCTTCTGTGTGGCTCCAAGTCTGCCATAATGCCCCTGAGAACATGCCAATTTCAATTTTGCTGAAGCATACTGCCGGCTGTAGAGACAAGCACAACAGCACAGAAGCCCACAAACAGCGCCAGAAACAAGGGCAGCCTAGCCATTACTGCATGATTAGCAGGATTCTCTGAGCAAGGTCACTAATCTCTCCATCTCTGTCTTTGCCTTATTATGTTGCTGAATGGCATAACACAAAACACATTCTGTCTTCGCTTTGCCAATATTGAGAGAATCATTACTCACAAATATCTAATTTTCACATTTGCATTTTCTGCTACATTAAGTAATTGTTTTTTGTTTAGTTTTTTATAATACACCTGTGTTTACAGTACATCACTTAAGTCTACTAGCATCATAGCGTATTTTACACTGGTACAACAGCCAATTTGCTGTTCTTTAACGGACTACTTTTCATTGTACTTTGCTTTATCAACATTGTTAAATTCCAGTAAAATAAAACAATACCCATAGTTTTAGGTATGTTTGCAGGACTTTTGTTAAAATGATAGTATGCACAATGCATTAATGCCATTATGTAACCATTATATTACAATTAACACACAATCTAGTGTTATTCTTTGTACACTAAGCAATAAAGTTATCTGACCTAATTATACCATACCTAGTAGCAATACTGAGGACATGGTTTAGGAAAGACTGCAGCACGTTTTCAGACCTCAACACAAATACTGTAAGTTTTTTTCCCAAGAAGAAAAAAAAATCAAACTCTGAAAATGATTTGAACCATTCTTCCATAATGCTCCATAATAGGTGGTCATGTTTGTCTGTGCCAGGGTGGTTGTATTTTTTTATTTTATTTCCAGTATTCATCGACTGTACTCTGTTATATGACAGCCTCGCTCCCTTTGTCATCATTTTCCACCTCCACTTTTCTTTCTGTCTCTCTCCTCTCTCTCCCTCCTCCACAGGTAGGCCACCTCCTAGCCGGCTGGACATCTGTTGTCTAGCAACTCACGCACCAATCAGAGCGTCAGGCCTCTCCTCTCCTCTGCAGTGGAACCAGCCTTGAATGCAAATAGCAGATATTGAGAGTTCACACACAACTTTAAAACTCTGCAGAAATACAGTTAGAGCTACGTATGCTTATTTCCTAACTTAAACACGTCTAGTCTTGTAGATGAGGATGGAAAGTCAGAAATTGAGCTTTACAGATTCTGTAATGCAACAGTTGAGTCTCAAGATGCTTATGTACACAGAAAAAGTGCAGATAGTCTAAGGATTGATGAGTAGTGAACGTTTGTCTGCAAAGGATGCGTTCATTTAGATAATATATTTTTTTGATAATATTAAAACTGTAGCTTTTTATTGGAAACCTCAGCAGCTACAAGATTAGAGAAAAATGCAGCAACAAACACATGCAAAAGAGCTTAAGCATAACAAAGTTCTGTTCGTTCTGAAAAAGTGATACATGAATTTGTGACTTCCAGATTAGATTATTGTAACTCGCTGTACTCTGGACTCCAACTTGCTCACCTCCAAAGATTACAGCTCGTTCAGAATGCTGCGGCTCGTCTCCTAACCGGAACTAGAAAGTTTGGCTCTATTACTCCAGTGCTCTCTGACTTCCATTGGCTGCCTATTAAAGTTCTGCTGCTTACTTTCAAATGCCTAAACAACCTTACCCCTGACTATCTCACCGACCTCCTCAGTCTCTATACTCCCAACTGTTCTTTACGATCTTCCGGTCAGTTACTTCTGGCCCAGCCCAGGCACCGTCTGAAGACTAGGGGTGATCGTGCTTTTGCCTCTATAGCACCAAACCTCTGGAATAGTCTTCCTGCTACCATTCGTGCCTCTGACTCCATTCAATCCTTTAAAGCACGCTTGAAAACTTACCTATTCAACCTGGCTTTTTCCGGTTCACTAATTCTCAACGCACATTAATTGCTGTATCGCTACTCATTTCTCTGAATTATCATGATCTCTCCCTATCTCTACTTACTAATGCTTTTTGTTTGTTTTCTATACTTTCTCTATTTTACCTTGTTTTAATGACTTACTGTTCAGTGTAATCATTTACCGTTATTTTTACTGTGAAGCACTTTGGTGTACCCCCTGGTTTTAAACGTGCTATATAAATAAAATTGTATTGCATTGTACTGTAGTATGCTGTTGATTTTAGCAGAAAATCAAACCTTAATGTCAAACATCTTCAGTGTTGAGGGACTGCAGACAGTAACTGTAGAATGAGACAGTCCACAAGATTACTTGGTTTTCCTTTGAGAGCTTGTTTCTCATTTTTGCAAGCTTCATACAAGTTAACAGGATTGGAGCACAAAAGTGCACGGGCACAGGTGTGACTGCCTGCACTGGCATAACAGCGTGTTTTTATTTTTTAATGCATGAGTAAATCGCATTTTACCCATTCACTCTTCAGACTGTAGCTGCAAAAAAAGCTGACTCTCAAAATGTCTCAAACAATCAGTTATGACTGGCTGCAAAGCCTCACAATACTCAACTCTGCTTGCGCAAGCTTGAGTCCTGCTGTCACAGACACTAGTGAGAGTAATTTTGCTTATGTGGTTAAAACTGAAGCAACTGTGCCAACAAATGTGAATGTGCGGTCAGCTGTTTTCATTCAACCCTGTCTGGACCTTTTCTTGGCTTGATCTGGGCTGACCGTCTCTAAGTGTCCAAGTATGAGTGCTTCTCTGTCTGGCACAATAAAGACCACAATGATTGATAACTTCATTTAAAGTATACAAAAACATACCTATTCTTTTTTGTTCTCTTTTACTTTTATTATTTTAACTGTCATAATTTGTCTTTAATTAGCTGTGGTGTGAGAAAAAAATACAGCTACTTTGTTTTTAATGGCTGAAAAGTAGTTGTGTTCCTCTTCAATACCAAATGCACTTCTTTGTCTCATA